GGGGGGTTGGACTAGATGACCCACAGAGGTCCCTTCCAACCCCTACCATTCTGTGATTCTGTAATGTTATTCAGTGTTACAGTTTCAGAGAACAGACTTCCCTCTCCATTTTTAGTACTGTCTACAGAAACACATACAAACAGTATGTTTTCCTCCTTTGGGATATTTACGGAACCAACCAAACAAACCCAGCATTTGTTAGTACTTAGATAGTGAGTTTTCCTCATGTAAAGACCAAACACAATATCCATTTAAAGACTGGAAGAAGGTATATAACATTTTTTACGGTTAATTTGAAAAAAAAGCAACGCAGTATGTAATAACTCATTTCTGGAAAAGAGAATTTCCCTTCCTACTAAACCTTCTCAGAGTGCTGTTTTGCTGCCTTATTTGTTAAGGACCAGAAACTGATACGGTGTGAGTTGTCTGACAGTAACTGACTTCCATAGAAGTCTAAATCCCCACAGCTAACTACTACTAAGAACAGACTTTTACAGACATACTCTAGAAAACTTAAAAACACCCCAACCATTTCCTAAATTAACCCTTAGCAGTGAGAAATTGTGGTGGTTGTTTTTTTCAAATCCAGAAGGAATGAAATGGGTTTCTAAATCCTGCAGTGTTTTCTCCTCACAGATACTTCATGACAGTGAGTTGTGGTATTTAGATTATACCAAGCTAAGTATTTATAACAATTTCAGATGTTGTTTAGCTTTAAATTACATCAGTTTTTCTTACTCGGCTCGGAGACAAGTGCTTACCCCTCTGGGAGATGGGCCGTTGGTCTCACCCAGTAACAGCTTGAGAAGTTTCAGTTCCAGATTAGGTAGAGCTGGGCTAGACGGCCTCCTCTGTGGCTGAAAGAAACGCCTGATAGCCTGCTGCTGAGACAGGAGGGCCCAAGCAGCAGGCTGAACGTTACAGATAGGCTAGAGGAGGTGCTGCCCTTCTCCTGGGCTGTCAGTAACCCTTTCCCTGCTGTACGCTGCCAGGGTGTCATAACTTCTCAACGCCGAGGCCAGGTGCTCACCCTTCACCTGCTCTGTTCAAGTGTCCTTTATTTTCCAAAGTGGCCTCTCCTTTCAGGGAACGCCGCTAGGATGAGCAGAGAACTAAACCTTCACCTGTTCCAAACTTTGTAAAAGAAAGAGGTCCAAGTCACCAATCAGTTCCATCCTGCTTTTATGGATGTTTAAGCATACACAAATTTAAAACTATCACCATGTAACATGATTCACCAGTAGCTGCAAAAACTGCACTTGCTACGTTTTGCAACCTTTTTTATTTTTACCTTTTGGTTGTAGGTGATGTGCCAGTGGGTGGAAGACTTGAGAAAAGGGTTGTGCAGGTTCTGGTTTCGATCTTTACCCATCTTCTTTAGTTTGATGGAAGTTATGGTAGTTGGAGTTGTTGGAGCAGCTCTTATTCTCAAAGTCTTAAAGGTGATTTACCCTTCCTGTGAAAACAAGTAAGTAAATGTTGCTATATTTTTTCTCTGATGAAGGCAAAACATTTACTAAAAAAATCTTTCCAGAGCCGCCCCATTCTGTAGGAAGATGATGGCAACAATTCAGTGAAAAGGCTGCCAGTAACTTTCCATTCCAGGTGACCTTTTGACACATAGACATTTCAGCGGAACACGGGCAGATCTTTCATTGCAAATGTCTTTAGCTTGGCTGTCATACTGCCAAGTTTTTATTAAATCTTCTAAGGACTACATTGTGAGTCATCATTAACACAGCGCAAAGAGAGGAGGCTAGAAGCCAGAGCTAAACAATTCCAACAGGTCTAAATCTTTTGATACTTCTACCATGTTGGAGTTCTTATAGTAGTTATGAAACGCCTTAGATGTGGCTTTGCAAATTTGTACAGGAATTGTCCAAGGAGGAGCTACCCATGTAGGCAGCTTACAAGCCATCACAACTGGTGCTAGTATTGGTGGCAAAAGAGCATAAATAAAGTTGATTGACTACAGACAACTTTTTTCCTCAGTTGGTGTTTTACCAGCAACACTAATATTTTTCAAAGAAGGAAGCTAAGAAATCAGGACAGATGTAGTGCTGGAATGGGCAAGCATGTACATATTAAGGCAACCCAAGTCAGTTCTAGAAGACCTAGCCCTTCCAACAATGTGTTCTTTCAGGACAAGTGACTGACAGCGTAGCATGCTTCACCACCTACAAGCACAGCTGACATCTTCAGATGCAGCTGACCAGCTGTGCTTGCGGATGGCCCTGAGCGCCGTTCATTTGTGTGTCCACAAGGGATGCGATTGGCCTTAGTCCTGGCAGAGCTAGCAAAATGAAGGGTTGGAAGATCAGGAAGGTTGGAAACTGGAGTGACAGGGGAGACACGCTTCCCCCTGACATTTCACAAAGCGTGCTGTCAGATTGGTGTATTTCTTGTAACTAACTTGTTAGAGCAGAAAAAGTGAAGAAACACTTAATACCCTCCAGCAGCAAATAGCTTCACACTGCCACGTGTGCAACTTTGAACTGAGGAGAGCTAGGGGAAAAAGGTCTAATCCCCATAAACTGTTCAGCCAAGTGTCCGATGGCCTGTCCACAGCAGAGGTCAGGACAGAGCAGAGGAACCAGCCTGGGGTAATTTCTCTTCCAACTGGAAAATGCGGGGCTTGTGCGTGGCTTGTCAGAGCACTGGAAGAAATTGTTCTGCCAGAAGGATGGTACTTCCCACCTTTTTTAAAAAAAACAAACAAAAAAACCCCCCAAAACCTCAACCAAAATCAAAAATCACACAGTCATTTTCTTGCTACCTGTATAAAGTGGTCCTGTAAGAAGTGTTAAAGGTTTAATTCGTGATTGTAAACCAGTAAGAATGAGCAGAAGGGCTCATCTGGTGAATGATGCTGTCTTAAGACACAGTCAGGACCTCATCTCAAGTCTTTAATGACATTCTGCAGGACACTGATAAAACCAGAGGCTTTAGCTAGTCTTAGAGAATGAGGTGCAAAAGCGTGACAAAGCAGCTGCCAATGGCAGACAGTTTTAGGCTACAGTGAAACTGAGCGTACAGAGCCCACGCTGCTGGTATTTCAGGTGCAGAAACTGGGCAAAGGGACCCCTCTGAAAACACAGCTGGTACATTTTGGAACCAGTTTTCCATCAAGGTTTCATTCTAGCTTCATAAAAGAGGTGTTATGAGGGCAGCATGTACTTGGTGCATTGATTTAAACTAAGTTTGGGGAGTTGAAGAATAAATGTAATTTTTAGAACACAGAATTGTTTTGTGGATTGTTTTCTAATGCCAGATAATCTTACTTTTCAGAGGCATCCTTCTCCTGGATCAAGTCAGCTTTGTACCTGTGATTACCATCAGCTTGCCTTCAGATGTTCCAGACAGGAAGAATAACTTAGATGAGAAAGCATGTACTTAATACCGTGTTTACTTTGGAGTTACTGTTTTTTTAAAAAACAAGTTTTTAGTTGACCTGAAATTTGGCACTTGATCTTAATACCTTGGGTTCTTCCTACCCAGCAAATGAAGTCAGTCAGTTGATTAATTGGTAAAGGGACACTCAGGCCGAGGCCCAAAGCTGACTTCCCTGTGCCTCTCTGTAAACATGCAGCCTTTTCAGAAGCTTCAGAATAAAACAGCTTTCCACCCCGAGGGCTACCATTAGTTTTAACTTCTATGAAGTCACTTTTCCACACCTTGGACAGGATGCTGGCTGCCTTCACGCCTGTAGATAAACCAGGTCACTATCCTGAATAGTGAGATGATGAAATTCAGGGTCTCCTGAAGTCTCCAGACACCATTCTTCAGAAAAGGACGAAGGAGTACCACAAACATCAGCTGTGCCTGCAAGCCTAAACAAAGCTGCCCAGCCTGGTTTCAGATCTCTTAGGGTTGAGTGTGCCTTGCAAGGAAAACATCACTACCAAACATTTGTGTTACTCGAGCAGTTTGATATTTTATATATGCAAAACAAAAATTAAAAAGGCAGATTTCTGTTTCAAGCACTTTACTCTTCTATGGCCCCTTCCACTCATAAAAATTGTTAGCACTTGTAAACAGCGTGCTTTTTGTATCTGTGACACCAGTACTATGTGAAGTCTCAAAAGAAAAAAACTCTACAGAAGTACCGGCTTACTGTTGTTAAGTAGGCCCAGTCTGCCCACGCCGATTTGTGCAGTCAACATTTTTCAAATAAACTTTGAAATTGTTGATTAGACTGTGTTCACGTGTGCATCTATAGTTACATAAAACAGCAGTTTGCCAAATGTGTCAGATACAGGGTGCTATTTGGTTTTTAGCTTTTCGTTGTTGTGGCATTAGACTAAGCACAGTTATCACTGGAGAGATCAGAATTATCCATGTTCATCTTAAGTTGTTATAATGAGGGAGAAGAGTTAGGATTTCCTCACACACACAGCCTCCTCCCTTAAGGAACAATTATCGTAAGTTGAACGAGATCTCTAAGTTATTGAGATACTTGTCCTTACAGCTGGTCTGTGACAGGAGCAACTCAAGAGCTGTCTCACTAAACTGACAGCAGTGCAGTGGTAGAAAAAACATTTCTAACACTGAACTGCGTTGCAAAAATCCCCAAAAGACACCACCCAGCAGCGCAGCGTGGTATACATCAGCAGCAGGTAACAAGGACACTGCTCAAACTTCCTTTTTTTTTTCTTTGGTGATTTTATTTTTTGTTTTAGCACCTTGGGGATTTGTACTTTGCATTTACTTCCTGAAGCTCAGTGTCATTAGCGAGGAGGCTCCCAAACACTTGTGGGGTACCCAGCTGAGGAAGGCAGGAGGACAGAAGCGGGGGATATGTCACAGCTGGCTGGGTGCTTCGGGCAGGTGTGGAGCCATAAGCACTCCAGCAGGGCAGCTACTCTGCTGATCTGGGATGAGTGGCAGTGATGGACACCCCTGGAGCCCCAGGCAGCACTTTCCAGGACCGTACCATGAGAGAGCTACCACAATGATAACATAACCAAGCAAGACAGAGGCAATGCGAGAGGTAGAGAGGCATCTGAATTACGAATGCAACATAATGAAAGAAAACACGTGACAGGGGGGTGGGGATTGCCACGGGAAACTGCTGAGACTCTAGCGTGGGGATGGTGCCTGCACAGACAGGAGGAACTGTTGAAGCAAGTCTTCAAACAGTTGTAGACAAACTCCTCCTTCATCTATGTGGAAATTAATGTTCTTTCCACTGTATGAACATAGCCCTGGCCCCTTCGTTGACAAATACAAGCGACATATAAGGTTGAAGTTTAGCTTGGATGGTCAGGACACACGACAGTTCTTCCTTACTGCACAAGCACCGTAGGAATTGCAATGCAGATGGGAATTCGGCAGCTGGTAGCACGTGCTCTTTGCATCTCTACTTACAGAACTGTAAACCGAGCACCTGCACAGCAACAAGGAGGTTCTAAACAGCTGCAACATAAATAAATGAGTTGTTAAGCCTGAAAAAGTATTGGTACTGCTTCACAACTTGGCCGATTTCCATGAGCTAAGTAACCCTCTTTTCTTCAGTATTGTGTTCTACAAAGTTACAAAGCACAAGGGAAGAAATACTACCATCAGGTTAAAGAAACTAAATTAAAAAAAAAATAGTGCAAATCTTGAATAAATGAATTACCAGACAATATTGCTGTGCTATGGAGCTGGAGCCATCAACTCTTAAAAGCACTAGTGTTCTGCTTTAGCAAGTACGTGGTTTTCCCCAAGTCATAAAAGTCTCATGCCTTCTAGAGGAGTGCTAGTTTGAGCTGGGACCACTCTGAACCATTTGTAAAACAGTTTAAAAACTCCTTACCACAACTAAACACAGTTAGGAAAGGGCAACTGTCCTGCACGGCAGTCGTGGCAGGTCTCATTTTCCCAGTACGTGAGCCAACACGGATACAGGTTCCCAGCTGGGGTGAAAAACAACACAACCCAACTCCCCAAAAGAAACCCCAAACCCAAACGAAACCCCCAAAACCCCAGTCTGTAGGACAGCAGTAGGTTTTCTGGGACGGCAACATGTCTTATCTCCTGTTCTGATGAACGCAGTCTCTCACGGCGGCCCTTCTGCTCCATCTCACCCTCAGAATGGTTCTCTGGCTCTGACACACACGGCGTTCAGCAGCGCTGGCCCTTCCCTCCGCGCAGGAACTCCACCGCAGTGGGTAGCTGTCCTCATGTCCTGCAGTACAAAACAAAATTAAACCCTGAGCTACACGTTCAGCATCGACCACTTTTTTTCCCCTCTGTCTACCATGTATTACACAGGTCTTCATTTTGTTCTTTTACAGCGAACAGGGCTGGCTGAGCTGCAGAACTAAACCACCGCTTTTGCAATGAGGTTTACTATAGAGGTGCTCAAAATACACCACGTTTTCAGTCCAAGTGGCCCCTTACTGGACTGCTTCCAAGGACTAAAGCCTGCGTACTTTCCCTTTGCACTCCAGTGACAGATTGAGTATTTCGGTTTGCTTGCAATGAATTGATTTATGAGCAGAAACCTCCTCCTGCAACACAGCTGACAGCTACACACCCATCCTAACATGCAAACAGAAAAATAAGTACTGAGAGAACACAATTCTTCAAAACACTGCATGTTTCTCTTCACTCTGACACACACGGCTATCCTTTTGAAAGAAAAGGGGTAAATTTGTTTTCCATTTCGGAGATGGAAGTCTATAAATGCACACGCTTGCATGCTCACCTGAGTGTGCTCCCTTCATTCCCAGGTTCATCGTGCCAGGTCTGCCCAGGGATTCAGGAGCTCTTAACAGTATCTGCATCTCAGTGGCTTACTACAGCATCTCACTACTGGCGCTGCTGGAAGTCCCTTTTCAGCGAGCCCAGCTGTCACTCATGACATAGTGGTGAACTTCAAGTACATAAACAAGATGTCCACAACACTGGAATTTACACAGCTGTGAACTTGGGACTTATTTGCCTCCTACTCAGACCACAAATTTTGATTATCACTTGTCCTCCCCATCTGCCTTGTGGCATTTGAAGAGACACACGAACAGGAATTCCACAGCCAGTTTCGTACTGCATGTTACCTACCAGCTGAAACAAGTCTAGACATAGTTGATTCATAAAAAAACAAGAAGTTTAGCTGTAAGCAGAACTGCAGCTAGCTGCTCTGAGATGAGCCAGCAGGACGAAGCACTTCCAAAACAAGGGGAGATGGACAGAAGCGATATGTTTCAGTTACAAGGACCCTCACTGAGCAAAATGTAAAATTATGACCTAAATGGTCCCTGTAGAACCATTCTGAGAACTGCTTCTACATTCCACCTGTCAAGTAAAAGAGAAATTCATGAAAAGAGAATTCAGATTTTACACCTATTGTGAAGTCAGGTTTATGAGCAGAAATCAATCAAGCACAAACGTAACAGGCACACTGCCTTATCAGAACAGCCTCACCAGAATAAAGGTGCAACGTAAACCAGGACCGAACCTACCAGTCTGTAGGGTTTTGAAGCTTACAGTACCATACAGCCAAGGAAGAAAAACGTGTTTCAGACCTGATGCCAGAAAGCTTTTGTTCTCTCCCAGATTGACAAGGAGACTGCACATGTGACTCTGCATCACTGCTGGCTGCACAGAACTAGTTTACACCAGCTGGATGCATTTTAATATTGCTTAACAGATACTGTAAACCAGTGATGACCCTACCTCTTGCTTAAACTTCAGTTGAATCTATTAACTCTTAGTAGTGCCAGAGCTGCTGTGCTCAATCTCAGCCTTTGTACAGTTTCTTGTATTAACAGCTTAGAAACAGTTTCAGGGTAGAATTCTCTGAGATCAGCTAGCAAAGCCATCTGTATAACTGCATCTTGTTCATCCCATTTTCTAGTTCTCAGCATCCCTTACACATTTAGCAGGGCTGGTTTGGGGGGTGGGGGGGGGGGGTTTGGTATTAGAGCTATTTTTCAAGAGTAAACCCTCTGACGCAAGCATTCGAGTATTTAAGTAATTTTAAAATCTTGAAGATCAAAGTGGATCCCATCAGTATCTTCCACATTGGAGAAAAATGGGTAACTTTCGAGCTAGTTCAAACAGAGCTAGACAGAACTTGCATTTAAAAAAAAAATTTATTTAGACATCTGTTGCTCTTAAATTACAAAAGTTAAAAAGAGCACACAGTGCACTGACACACTACTTAGTACTTCTAAATCTGTTTTAAGACGTAAGGTGGCCTCTTCAAGATAAGACAAATCAGCATGATCCAAATTCAACTATCCATTTCTCGTATTTCTCAATGTCTGCAGCAGATACAGATTTAGAAACTTTCTTCAAAGCTATTTCAAAGTCTTCCATAGTTGTTGGCATGTGCATTTCATCTCGGGAAAGATTTCTTATTTCTTCTGGTGTCAAGCCTTCGATACGCCTTCTCATAGCCATCAACGATGCATCTCTATTAAGGACACAAAAACAAAAAACAAACCAGTTACTCAACACAGGACGGTGAGTTCAGTTGTTTGAAAGGCTCAACACAGCATCACAGTTAAGCTGTTGCATTCAGAAAGATACAACAAAGAACTGTAAACTTTTACTGGAAGATCTCCAAGTGCTCGTATGACCTACCATACCACGCTATCCATATTTTTCAAACGTGGATTTATCCTCACTGGATCTTTGAATAGCCACTATTCACAGCCTGGGCAAGAGAGGCAAAGACTAACCGGTGTATCTAATGCCACTGCATGCCTATGATGTAGCTGCTGTATTGTTACACAGGAATAAGGCAAAGTAACGGTTTCACTCATCCTACTGATAGGAGAAGTCACTGGAATGTTTTGAATGTTTCCTGGTCCAAACAGGAATTGCACTTCAAAGACAGAGGGGTCAACGGTATCCACCACCAACCTACACATTCACAGCTAAATGTTAAACGACAAAATCTGTTCAGCTTGTGACTCCTCAACCTTCTGGTCTCAATAAGCATTAAGTGTCCCTATAAGCAAGTCATCTTCTTGCTGCATTATGTTTGACTGCATTCGGATTTCTAACAGTAGTATCAGTAGCAGCAGGTGACGAGCTGGTGAGGTGATAAATGGATAACACTGAAAGACTAAAGTTCCTGCTAATTCGTTGTTATATAACTTTTAAGAAAACATTCCTTACTTTGTCTAGCAGTAAAAAAAAATGGAAGAGTAATCCTGGCAGTATCACAACAGTACCATATCATATCAGTAGGTGAGAATCCAAAGAGAAAGACTTTTACATTGTCTTCTAGGAGGATTTAAAAAGATGTCTTCAGCATATTCTGTTTCAGTTCCACCCCCTCCCCCCAAAGGAAACCATAGCTGAGAGATTTCATGGATTTACTAAATAATTGTTAGCAATTAAAACGCATAATACAGTAACTACAATTTCAGGACAATCCAAAAAAGTTGCCTTATTGAACTCCATCTTAGTTCCAAAGATGGGGGGGGGGGGGAGGCAGGGATGGGGGAAGCATCCCATCCATCTAATTTGCCTCCAGACAGCAGTTTACCACAAAAAAAAAACCGCAACCCAAAACACCACACAACAAATCCAACCACCCGAACAAAAAACCAAAAAACCCCACCCCACCATACCCCAACACACACACAAAATTAAAAGTGCAGCTGCTATCACTTTCTTCTGTAAAGTCATTCTGCTGACAGTCATTCCAACACCAAGACATAGTGCTTTCTCAAATGCACCCTTAGTGCCTGGAGACACACCAAAGCTATATCCAAAAAATGAGCAGCCACCCACTGGAACGCGCAGCGGGGGTCAGTTCCGTTCCAAAGGCCTTTCAATCTTCACAGTCATCTCAAAACAGTGCTTCAAAGTCAGTTCATGCTCACATCTACTATGCCATTTAGATGAGTTTTACCTTTCCTGAATGTGTTTTTAAAATATAGTTTCACCTTAATTACCCATGGCTATACACTGACTGTTAGGAACTGTAATGTTACCACTGACTGGTTTTCACTCTGGCTCATCAAGCTTTGCATTTCACCTCACATTCTTTAAGGTAAGAGAAAAATCTGAGCAAACCAGAGTTCGTGGCTCACTTTTCCTTAAGTTTTGCTTGTGTCACTAGCAATGCCTGTTACAGTCTACAAATTTGAATTTTACTGTGTTTACACACTGTATGTCTGAACCATACAAAAGCACTTTTAAATCAGCCATGTGTCTTTTCATCTCAACATAAATGAAACAGCCACGTTTAAGATCTGATATTCCTGACACCATTAACAAAGTGTAAATACACAGGCTAGTACGACTATTTTCTTACCAATTTCAAATGATGCACATCCAAACCCCAGTTTGTCCGGATTTCTGGTTGCTGTCACCTCAGTCATCTCCAAGGACACTGCCGCAAATGACAGACCGGGGTGCTTCTTTGTAGGTTTTGCTTATTTGTTTGTTTTCACTTTGTTTTTTAGTAGTATTTGTACAAATAGACTTTGATTGAAAAATAAATAGCATGTGTGTATGAATATGAAATTCACTCAAAACCATTACAAGTATTGTGACTTAAACAAGTGTATTGATATCCAATATAAAATTCATTACAAATGATGAACACTGAACAGACCAGAGGAGACAAACTGCAGCTAAAACACACAAAGCAGCAGGCCAAATAAGCTCTCTTCCATATAGCATGAACCTACTACCACAGACTCCTTTCAAAGCACAACCAACACCAAGACGGAGCAAAAGAACACCACAAATTCATCTCACAAACCTACAAATGAAACAAATCTGCACAACACTGACTCAGAGCAACTAACACACCATTCTTTTCCCAGGCACTGGGTAAGGTTTGTTCAGGAAATAGTACTGACCCTCCAAACTCTTCACTCAGCCTTCAGTGACCCTGCTAAGAGCCTTTGGCGGCAGTTCTGCGTACAGGCCACTCGCATTCACCCCTGCTGCACAGCGTATTGTCTGCTCGGTTGTGCTGACAAGTGTTTGCAGAGCTGTAGTAGGAATCAAGGCAAGAAATGTATCTGCGTTTGAGGAAAGTGATGAGGTCGTTTTAATCCAGAACGGTTCTGTTACCCTGTTCACAGTACAGCCCCACAACAGTTGTCCTGGCACAACCTGGAGCTCAAGCCTTGCACCGTCACACTTCAGTGCTACCTCCAAAGCCTGAAAGCATAGTTACACAGGGGCTTATTAGATGACAAGCACGTCTTCAGAAGTTTCAGTTCTTTGTCCCTTACTGCTGAGTCCATAATTTGCCACTGCTGCAACTGTGCCAGTGCAAGTCTTCAGATGTAAACCAGATGACTGACATCAGACTCTTAAGAGAGCAATCCTTTCCTTCACTTTTCAATTTTTGAAAGGGAAACAAAAAAGATTGGGGGAAGGGTTAGAAGGTATTTTTAGCCAGTTATTTCAGGAATCTAGCTTATAGAATAGGCCCACAAATGATCGTATGCAAACACTACTGAGAAGGGGAGATGGAGGAGGCAGAAGAAAACGTAAGTCAGTCTCATCACTAAAGCCAGCGTGCTGAGCACACAGCTCTTGTACTGTCACGCAACATGGTACATCTTTTCTGTGCCACGAAGGAAGAATGCTCCGCATTCTTACCTTAGTCATTCTGGCCTCTGCCACTATCGCCTCTTACCCTCAGATGTTCTGCTGAAGTAGTACAACCTCAGCGGAATGACTGCAACTCTGCAAGTTCAAGTCTACCATCCTGTGTGTATTCCTTGTGCGAGGAAATTGGTGTACATGAAAGAACATGGAATTTTACCTGCATCACAGCTTGTTTAGATTACTATGTTGCAATTGCTCTTCGTCATTCTTATAGGAAAATATCAAATGGAAGTCTAGGTAAATATTAATGCAGTATTTCACCTTTTAGCCATACATAAGAGAAGTTACAGTCCGTTTTTAACCAACAACTTTAATCATGTAAATTAGTTACTTTGCAAACAGTTTTCTCAGAGTTTGTAGCAGTAGTAACACAAATGATGCAACGTTAACATACCTGCATACGTTGGTAATGTCTGCACCTGAATAACCCTCCATTTTCTCAGCTATATTTGCAAGGTCAACATCGTCAGCCAGTTCCAGCTCTCGCAGATTTATTCTTAAGAGTTCCTCTCTACCTTTTGCTAATCAAAGAACAGAAAATTGAGTCTATACAACTTGCTTTCTGAATATAAGTAAAGAATTGAAAAAGGATAAGAGGGAAGAATGAGAAAAAAAGACAGTGTACTTGGTACAAAGATAAATGTTTAGATTTAACCTGGCCTCGAACTCATAAATGAATTTGCATACAGGTATAAATTAGATTTTTAAACCAGGTGATCAAAACTAAAGGAATATTGACAAAGTTTAGATTTTAGTCTTTTCAGCTACTCCTATCCCCAAGTCTTCATACCTGATGGTAAAGGAATGTAAATCCTCTTTTCTAGTCTCCGCCTTAGGGCTTCATCAATATCCCAAGGAAAATTAGTAGCAGCAAGTACCATGACCATCTTGGAAGGATCATCACTTTCAGTAGCCCCTCCAACACCTGCATTGGAGAAAAGGGGAAGTAAAATGTACAGATGTTCCATTGAAATTTCATGTATAGAGAAAACAATATCCACAATTCTATAATATTAAAGCAGCTACTTTATTGCACTGTAGTGAGTCCAAGTGCAATACAATCGCCAAGTGCAACAGAGGTCAGGTTTGCATCGATATGACAGACTACAAGCAAAAATGGAGACTTGGTTTAATTAGGGGCAGTGACATAGGCCACCGGTCAGATCAGCAAGTTCCTCTCTGTCATGGCTGGAATGCTTTTGCAGCAGTTGTCTGTATTTCTGCCATTACAGTGTTTGAATTTTCACATCAACGTCCAGCAACAGCACGTGAGGAAAAAAAAAAAACCCAAAACCATCACCACACCAAAAACCAGCCACCCTCTCCTCCCTCAACAGTACTCAGTAACAGCCAAGTGAAAGCAGCATTAGTCCCTTACAAAGCTTCTACACTTCCGAATTCAGGCCAAACGTTTCACATATGCAGATGGATTCTTTCACTTGAGCAGTTTGTATGTTTATATCCGGTGGACTGAATCACAGCTCCTCAGAGGCAGAGAGAACACCTCAGTCTCTGAAGGGCTATGAAACTGCTGCCATATGAAGAACTTAGTTTCATTAAACTTGCTACTCTCTGCATTTACTGTTTTTGCTTATAATCACAGGATTGGGCTGTGGAATAGCCATTGTACCTAGTCTACCTGAAAATTTGCATATAAATCACCATTTATGGATGCTTAAGTAAAAGGACTTCAAATAGCTGCTACTAATAAAATCAGCTTATGTACATACTTGAGTTATGAGAACAGTATTACAGCTCTGCTGTTATTCAAACATAAAAGTGTATCAACATCAGAGAACCAGAAATAAATATACAAATCTTCTGACTCATGAAATTCTATCACAAATTACTCCATAAATCAGCACTTCTCAGTTGCTCCTTTCCTTCGCCCTGTTCACCAGAGTATAAAAAGGACACCTCTACAGCAACTTTGCACGGTGTTATCTACTAATAAACTTTATTGATTTGTGAAATATTAACCAAATAGCTGTAATGAACTCAGTGGTTTTAAAAAGAAAACTCTCCCAACCACTTATACAAAAAATTGCCTTCATTTTTTATTTACATCTTTAGGAGAAAAAAAGAATTCCCAAAGAAGTTAAGTGTAATAACTGCCTTTCAAGATTAAATTGGAACAGGTGACAGTTCTTTTGCACCACTTTTTACTTGGTTTTGGAGAAGTACGTGATATGCTAAGTAAAGACTGAGAGACAATTAATACTTTTTTCTACAGCAGCTTTGAAACCTTGTATTTTCCACTGAATCTTCATTATTCTGGGTCAGTAATATAAGGTCATTGCTCAGATGCTTAAAAGATTATTAAAAAATTAGTATATTTTTTTCTTCCATGCTGACAGTTGGAATAGTGCATTTGTATCTTTTTACCCCAACTTTATGTAAGGTTTTCAAACAAATGTCTTCTGAAGAATGAAGTTCTGATTTTGTTTTTTCTCCCTCAAGTTTCCTCCAGTCCAGCACTTGCCAGTGATCAGGTTATTTACCATCCATTTGAACTAGCAGTTCTGCCTTCACACGTCGGCTAGCTTCATGCTCCTCTGAAGTTCCCCTGCGACTACAGATAGAGTCTATCTCATCAATAAATATAGTTGTCGGGGCATAAAATCGAGCCTAAAGAAAAAGATAAAGCAGAAACTGAAATGGCAGTCTACTCACATTTAAGAACTGGCAGCATGTTCAGAGCTGAGTACTGACACATTTATCCCAGTGAATCAGCTCGTAAGCATCAAACAATATACCCAACCTTCCCTCTCTTTGACCATTGCACACAACTATAGAGCAGCTGTGCATTTGTTAATAACATCTGAGGAGAACAGTTTCTGGCAAAGTCCCGTAATTGTTAGGGCTATAAACAAATGTTTAATAAGCTAAAGGCAGTTTTACATATTAGGAATAACATTTATAACTGTGAAAGTCATCACAGAATGCTTCAGTAAGAACTCTGTTAAAGCTAGGGTGAACATTAAGCTAGAACACCACAATATGGAACCTGTCCAAGAGACAGGTCAACTGCAAAATATCTCTGACCTTTCTGAAAACAAGAGAGGTCGAAGACAAGGATCTGAGATAATAAAAGCTATTGTCCTACAGAAGTTGAGACGCTGTCCATTATGTATATGCATGTTTGATTGATAGGCATGCTATCAACTCATTTAGTAATAACTCATTTTATTTCCTGACTTTTTTGACTACTGTAATCGCAACTCTGCTGCCCCCTTCAGTACTGGGCACCCCAGCAAACACTGCATGTAAATCTGATTACACATGAAAAAAAGACTACATGTTCTGAGCCAGTTTCAAGTGTTACAAACTGCAGTTGGCTTCAGAGTGCATAAGTCCATTTATTTTAAGCACAAACAAAAACATCACCACAATAACAGCAGAACATGCACAGCCTAAGTGGGGTCTCACCCAGAAAGCATTAGATTCCATCTCCAGTTTTATATTCAAGTATGTTCTACAGCACTCACCAGCTTATAGCAAGCTACCTCTAATTTAACAAGCTAACCCTGAAAATAAAGATGACTTCACCTTCCAATTTTTATAGAACCATTTATGAATAATCAGATCTTGAATGTACATGGCCAAATCAGAAGGTCGTGAAGTGTTTGAAGCTCAGAGAGCTGTTTATGTAAGCTATGTGTTCTACATCTTGGCAAGGTATCACTATTCCAGAAGTAATTCTACTTCATTATCTCACTATTTACTTTCAGAAACTTCAATCACCATTTCAAACAGCAGACGAACAAGTTTCTCAGATTCTCCTCTGTATTTTGAGGTAAGTGTGGAAGAAGAAACATTGAAAAACGTAGTCTTGCATTCAGTGGCTACAGCTTTTGCCAGGAGGGTCTTTCCAGTACCAGGGGGACCAACCATCAGCACACCCTATGAAAATTAACCACTTTTAGGACAAGAATCAAAACAGAGACAATTTCACAGTTTATTTAATAGTGTAATATTAAAATACTAGATGTAAACTCTCCCTTAAACAGTTATTCAAAGGTAAGCAATTAATTACTATTGTTTACTTGCAACAATATAGCTGCAGACAGTGTATTTATCTGGCTGACATCTTTATTTTGTTAGCACTATTTACCATAAATTTTGTTACTAAAAAGTGGAAAGAATTTATATAACCTGTAAAACACCTGAAATTTCTTGTTCCACCAATATTCAATCTCACAATCTTACTTATGATCATAGGATCAGGTTTTTTCATACCTTCCATGGTCTTCTAATTCCCTTAAAAAACTCCGGCATCCACATCGGTAGAACTACAGCTTCCTTAAGCAGCTTTTTGGCTTCTACTAAATCAGCAATGTCATCCCTGACAAAAGGAAGAAAAAAAAAAAAAAAAAAGGAGAAAAGTTGTTTGCCAGATTCAGACAGGCTGCAAAAGAATCAGTCCACAGCTCAAAACAATCTGCAATTAAACTTATTGTTATGTAATGGCTCTTCGATAATTCAGGAAAATAAGCTTGATTTACATTATAGTTGTTGTAGGCTTTTGTCATTATAGCTGACATCCAGCTAGTAGACTCCAGCTGGATGCAAAAGCAAAAGAGAGACATTAATCATTTCATTAGAGTGTTATTGCTCTTATTCACAGAAAGAATAAGCAGAATAAGGCAAGTTGGTTAAATTTGTGCTAGTTACAGATGATGTTTTCTTCTTTTGCTGAGAGGTCGGCTGTCCCTGAAACTTGAATACCATTGTTCATCATTATAAGAACAATTTACTTGTACTTGGAGGCTAGTAAACGGAGCTGAATTAAAACGCATTTTTAGAATTCTTTTTCAGAGTTACAAATGAATTATTTCTTAGGTATCTTACAGGCCAGCCTTCTCAGGGCGTTCCACTTATCAGCATGTGCCCAAGTAATATTCTGGTTTCCAAACCACATGGAGAATTAGTTTCAAATCTGAAGTCATAATTTAAGATTCAGTATAAAATCCAAAACATATATTTACATATTAAATCAAAATACATGAGAGTTGCAGGCATACAAAGTTGTTTGTGGGATTGTTTTTTTTAAAGCCTACTTTATTTGCCAGAAGATTTTTGCTCATTTAATCCTCACAAAACCACGTAAGCTTGGAAACATTTGGAACACAAAACAACCTTTGTATAAGGTTTAATATTTAACACATTTATGCAAAGGCACTAACACGTGGTTATATCTTATACTGGCAGTCACATCACATCCAGCAAGATTCCAAAGGGTTCCTATATTGACATAACTCCTTCATTAACTGGTTTTGTGTCTTGGTATGCCCCTGGGTAGCAAAAGAGGTTTTTAAAATGAAGAGACACTGGCAGACAGCAGAATTTTATACACTGCAAAACAGTATCTAAAAAATTGGTTTCAGGACTCTTAAAGTTTGAGAAGCTTTGTATGATCAGGTTGGATGAGGCTTTGAGCAACCTGACACAGGGAAAGATGTCCCTGCCCATGGCAGCATATTGAACTAGCTGATCTTAGAGGTTCCCTCCAACCCAAACCACTCTGGGATTCTGTAAGTGGAAAAAAAGAGTTCTAAAAATATTCAACTACACAAGAAGTTTAGTTACCTATTTAATGAGCAAATCAAACCTGTACGTACTTTTTATACGTAAACATAGTCTAAAATACTTGATTCCTGTCATACCATATAAAAGGAAGAAGAAACAACAACTCAGAAAGACTGGCAGAGCATTCAAACTTACCACCGAATGTTGGGATTCTGAGAAATTATATCTCTTTCCAAAGCTTCTACTAAATCTTTATCATATCCAGTACTATCGAATTTCTTTGGTTCAGACTCTGAAATCTCAGATGCAGATTTGTTCTACATATAAAGGATATAACAATGTAAATACGTAACAATGGTTATGCTACTAACGGATTTTTATAACAAGTCCACAATAGCATCGTATTTCTAGAAGGCAGCAACATAAACTAGCATTAAAATTATGAAACATCCATACTACTGCTCTACTGAGAGGATCTGTGTGTTTCACCCAGACTTCTCTACTGCCCTGGTCTCACTTCCTTCTCCCCAAAGCCAGCATATTGTACTGATGCAGTATCTTTGCTTTAGTGGGTAATCAACACTGCACACATCTATCCCAGTATAACAGTATTTGCCTCTTCTCCCAGAGAAATAAAAAACTGAGACAGTAGCTGAGTAGGAGGAATTATGCGTGAGACTGGATCAGAAAGTGTCACACTGAGCTAGGGTACCTCAAATCCTGTGTCATAAATATGCCATATATATATATATATATATACACACATACATATATGGAAGAAAAGAAGGTCACTAAAGGTGACCTGCAGGAAGACCACAGAAGTAAAAAAGAGCTAATTAACCGATACAGAAGCATGGACAAGAACAGCAGCTCTGCAGTACAGCAGAAGCAAAGTAGCTACACAGTTGAAAGGGCTCAAATAGCAGAGACCATACAACTGCAAGGAAATAAAACACACTAGATGTACCCCATTTTTTTTTTAATACACTTAACAGCAAGCACTGGTGACAACAGAACAACCGTAAAAAAGAAAAAAGACCTATCCTGTCTCTGTGTATCCTTAGCGAGAGAGGATTATCGCTCAAAGACAATGTAATTTAGCTCCTAATAAAAGTAGTGACTTACACAGCTAAACAATTCCACCCTTGTTTATATTACTTCCACAGGCCATGACACCTTGCCACAATGTAAGGTTACTGAAGCTGACAACTTACTACATGGATATTTGATTTATTCAGACTCTGGAAAACTATGATTTTAGTCTCTTCAATATGATCTCTTACTGTGGTCATCAGCTAAATTTATGGAAACCAGAGAACAAGCAAAAATTAAAGCACTCCCATTGCAAAGAACAGATCATAAATCATTCTCTCTCATGAAGTATGTTGGGATGAGTCTGGAGCTAACACCAGATCTCAGCAACAACAACAAAAAAATAAATAAAGGTCTCCCTTTAAGATTAAATAAATCTTGAAATGCTTTGGGACAGGCGAGTCAATCTCAGTTTAAAACATATGAAAGCAATTGAAGAACCCACAAGGACATCCCATTTGAATGAGCTCCATCAGGCTCAGGTTCAGTAATTCAGTTGTTTAAAATTATACCACTATCTCCACGTTGCAGTAAACAACCCCACATTTACCAGATCACTTCCTCCAGATGAGGGTTTGTTTTCAATTAATCCATAACCAGGACTGTCCATAAAGTAACAATACCTTACAAGGTGAGATTCAAATCAGCACACTAACTTGAACAGAAGAAACATTTTAGAGGTATCTAATTGTATAATACACACAACACTAAGAAAGCAAGACTGAGCTGTTCAACTTCATGACGTTATTTGCAAGCTTACCTTTTCCTCTTTTCCTTTATTTTGCTGATCCTTTTTTTCCCGGCTGCGGACTGCCTTCCCTTTATCATTGGGATTTCGAGAGGATGGACGGTGAGGGCCTCTGACAGCTGCACTTATACGATTATTGTGACCTCTGCAATCACTGCATTGAGCAGACTGACGTTTTCTTGGTCCTGGCGAAGGTCTAATTAGTTTTAACATATGCAAAAAGCCTCAGTGTAAAGTCACTGGTGTGTACTACATAACAAAATCAAGTGGTTACAAACTGAAAAGCCATTTCGCTCAAGATAAAAATCTGTATGTCAGAAACAAGACAGACATTTTTAGATAGTCACTGAAAATCCGTTTTCCCTTTGCCACAAGCTCAGGGCTCACTTGCTTAAAACAAGCTCCTTGCTTTGTATATTTCACAAATAAAAGTAATCCTACTATTATGGGTATTGGGAAAAAAAAAACCACCCCACCCCCCAATATATTTTCTCCTTATCACAATGGTCCTCGCTCTCGTACCCAAAGAAACATAAAGGTTTCTCAGGAACGACAGTTTTATCTTCACTTCGTGGGAAAGAAAATGTGTAGGAGGCCTCTAGTTGTTTAAAACTAGACTACTTTCAGAAGCACATATGACTAAGCTAGTTTCCTGTTTGGTATTATGGATTCCTTTCTTAAAACTCAGTTACTCTTACAGATATACTTTTTCCATAGGCTCTCCTAAAATTCTAGCATTAATAAGCTATCGGCCAATTTTAAGTTCAGGGATATTTCTAGATAACAGAAAATGGAAGACTCTGATTTTGAGAGTATTTACTTGAACTAGAAGATGTGTTTTGACATATCATTCAAGATGTATCAGGACTGAGGACCTTTATAGGAGTTGTCTTTAATTGATGCACAGCAGCAAGTTTGTCAGAACTGTACCTATCTCTTCAGGGTGAAATGCATATTAGGCAACATGAACATGTTAATGGTAAGATCACAACTGTTAAAAGTCTTTTCATTCTCCAAATGGAGTAGCTACCAACCTATACATTTATTTATGAACACTTAGCCACCTCCATATTCCACCCCAAAGCTCAAAATAAGGGAACAGTCTGATTACACATCTAATTTCCAGCTGAATTTGTTAGTTCTGCCATCTCAGTATAGGAATTTACTGTGGTTATTCCAACACAACATGGCCCAAGTTTTCACTGTGGCTTTTTCATGGTACCACAACTCAGTACTTCACCACCCGGTGAACGGAACAGAAAGAGTTCTCTGAAGTCTTTCCCTTTTGAGAAACATGAGTTTGTGTTTCTCTTCTCTGGGAAGCTTCAAAACATTAGGAAAGTTCTACCTCCCAGATTCTATTCTTCCAGAAGGTTTGAATGAATTTGGCTAGCAGCGTTCCAAAGTTATTAAATGAAACAAACAGAGTGTGATCACACAAGACCCACTTCTTTTAGAATGCAGGCTTAAAATAAACCAATAAAAAAAAATTAAAAATGTACCCGTGAATACTGAATGTCTCTCTCTGCGAGAAAAAGCTTGTAAGTTCAAAGACTCAAAGATCAGTTTGATGGTACAGCTAAGCTGATCTAATAGTCACTTTCTGTCAAAAAGCACAGTTCCATGCCTGCTTTGCATGTACCTCTTTTCCCTCCTTCACGCTACTACTGGCATGCGTTAGAACCTCCAATTAACCACTTTACATAGCTAATCTCAGGAAAAAAAAACAACAACAAAACCCAAACAAACTAAATGCCAAAGAAAAAACCACTAGCCCTCAAAAAACAGGGTCGTCTTTTTGCCAGTTTAGCACCCTGAACCAGCTAAGCAACACCAACAAAGACAAAAGTGAAAAATCTCAGGCAACTGTGGGCAGTAGGACTTACCATTTCAGCAGCAGCTACATTGTCAAACCACACGGCAAGGCCTTGGTTTCACAGACACTGACCCAGCATAATTCAAAACTACTTCTGAAATAAGCAGGTTTACCTGCAGCTGCTTGTTCCCACCCCTTCCCCTGAGCTTTCACTGGCGTAACTGACTAGTTCATGATGATCAGGGAACTACCTTGCTGCAAAAAAGGAACAGAGCATGGACACTTCTGGATTTTACTGTTATGCTGATAATACTTCTTCATCCTTTTCATGTCAGCTACACGCAGAATCATTTTAAAGTTGATGAGCAGATCAATGCAGGAATAGAGCTGAGCTTCCATGGAACAACAAGTATATTTTAAGGCACGGCAGGGGGGTAAGCTTGACGTTAATCAAGCCTATACAAGATAAAAGCCCCAGAACATTCTGAAGTAGGCTGCCTCAAAATGGCATCTCCTTCACCACAAATGGTGGCAAGCTGCTGGTGTAAGTGTTACACATCTAAGTTCTAGAACAAAAATTACATAGGAATAGGCTGAAGTCAAAGCGCACTTTGCCCTGAATCATGAGCTGGTAATTCTTGTTGTGAAGCTTTCAATGGAGTACTGTCTAGTTTAAAACTCTCTAGTGTTTTCATTATATCTTTCACATGCTTAGCTTCCACACTTATCTCCTGCCAAACCTGATAAAAAAAAAATAAAGAGAAAGAGTAGATTAAGCACATTGCAAATAAGTTTGTAACAGCCCTCTGTTCAAGCCCATGTTGGATTTCAACCCTGGATGAATCCCACAAGGTTTCACAAGCTACCTGATTCTACTTCCATAGACAGGAATGACACACATCAGATATTAAGAAGGTTTTTCTGCCTTCCTCAGCACATTTAAAGAACAAAAAAATAGCTTGTGGATTTAACTCCAAAGAGACTTTTGACAAGTTTTCTATATTAAACAAGTATGACAGAAGAGAGCTCAACCTAACAGATTGAATGTCAACAAAAAAAAGTTTATGGTTTGTGTTAAAGATAAACTAACATGGTAGCCACAACTCAGTTTCTATTACGGAGCTGTAAGTCACACTACTAAAACATGGAAAGGGAAACAAGACTATTCAAAATGATACCAGCCTAAAAAACTTCAGCATAACAGGGGCACTCAACACCGAGGAGCTGACAAGCCAGACAGTGCACTGGCTCCCCAGGGCTGTGTTCCATTGCCTGTTTTGTCATTGTCAGAGCAAGCAGTCATAACAAAGACTTAAGTCTTATATAGGCTTTCATGTTATTATCTAAAAATCACTCACATTTTGTCAGAGAATGGTGTAAGTATTTTTATGCATTTGTTTACCATAAGATAGGCAATTTTTGCTACTTTAATGCTTTTCCCTCAAAATATCCCAGAAAAGTACTATTTACCTGTTGCCATTTCTGTTGCAGATACGTATCTCTGACAGAGTAGAGGTATTTATTCATTTGGTCAAGAACTCCCTGGTAGTAGACCATCGCAGAGTCATAATTTCCCAGTAAGGCATATTCACGGGCCAGCTTTACATTCTCACTGATCATAACAAGGCTCATGTTCAACATGAAGCTGAAAAAACCAGGAAATATTAAAAAAAAAAAGTCCTAGGACCAGAACAAATTTTTGTAAGTATTTCTATATGCTCATTACCTCATTTGGCATATCAAAATGTAAAAGCTGGAAACATATTGGTTAGAAAAAAGTCCTAGAATGAATGCCATTCATATAAAGAGATAATTGTTTCTCTATTACTAGAAAATGAAACCCTTCACTTCATAGAATTGTTTCATGCAATGAAGATTCTGTTGAAAAGCATATACAAGATATGCAGATTTCAATGCACTGTTGCAAGCCACAAGTGCATACTCTCCCTCCCTCTTTATCCTATTGTAATTGGTATTTTACTGTTAGCACTACAACATTGTTCATACTATAATGAGCTGTGTTTTAAAAAAACCCCAACAAACAATAAACCAAAGCCCTTCTTCCAGATACATTGTTTTGTTAATTCTTTTGCCTTAACATTCCATGAATACAAGTTTAACAGCCTGATTTTGCCTTGTGGAGAACACCATTTTTCCATTTGTTTTGATTTTATGGTTCTTCAGTTTTATTTAATGTTTCTTCAAAATAAATATTCACCTTCCCTGCCCAGCTTGCACCTTCCTACCATCTTCATTTTTACACTCTTGAAAAACCTTGAGGCTGCTAAGTTATCACTGAAAGGTAAGGAAAGGCCACAATTTAACATTTAGTGTGTAGCTAGCCACTTTAAATAACGTGTTGTTCAAACAACGTTACTTTTCCCCACCAGTGGTGTTGGTGGGGTTTTTTAGGGGTTTTTTTTTTGAACAAACATCACAGACTGTGACCACTTCCACTTTGCAGCATTAGCAGAATCTGTGCTTTTAGATTAGAACAGCACAGAATTATTATTTATACAAATACAGTAATTAGTAGAAGCAGTAGACTTACTCTTTATGGCACAGCCACTGTCCATATAGCAGTCATCCTAAGTTCTTATCCACTACTTACACATCCCATCCCCCTTCTTCTCCAAGGTACCTGCACTGTCTCCACTTTTCCCGTCTCTTGCACACCAAGAATTTCTCCACTCTTCTCCTAATTTCCTAGAACCAAACACAAAAAAACACATTCAAATAAGCAAATAATCCTGTCTGCAGGAGAGTAATCTTGCTCTCCTTTCAGTACCTGTACCCAGTACCAGTAAGAAGCAATTGCAGACAAGCAATTACGGCTAAGCCCTGGGATGAAGCACACTTGATACAGATCAACTATTTAAAGAATGTAAGAGGTACTAAACTCACACACGCCATGCACAGATTTAAGACTGAACACATTTCATGACCAGGTCATGGTCAAATTCGTTCACATTGTCAGAGGTTTCAGAAGGCACGCTTTGCACACACCAGACAATCTGCTGCTAAAATCTTAGCTCCCCACTGTAGAGGGGCCGCTAAGTATAAGTCCAATGTTTTAAGACTTCCACTCCTTTTTCTGCCCCCTTCCCAAGTAGCTTTATGCACAGATACACAGCTGATCCCCTCCTGAGCCAACATCCTCTTCTTTTTCCTTCCTTGCTCTTGCTTCCCCAGTTTCCCTTGAAGCAGACAGCTACTGTGAAAAGTTCCAGCCTAAGCAGCAGAACTCTGGCAGCAGCAGACCTGAAGACAGGCTTCTGACAGCCCACATCCATCCACGCAGAAGGGACGCATGGGCCTGAGTCTGGAAACCTGCTATCACAAGAACCTGCACTTTGTAATCTCACTCTGGCCAGAGACTCGCTGAGCTGGCCAAAATGATGTCTACAAGCTGATATAGTTAATGTGACCAGCAACTACAAAGACTACCGTATCCCAGTCTAATTAGGCTTTGGAGACACAGTTTGACCTGGGAGCTTTGTTGGTTTTTACCTCGTGAGAAAGAGCCTGAAGATGTTTGTCAACTGCCATATAGCTCATCACACAGATGTTACCTAAGTTTTCCCTGCTACATTTAGGAGCAAGCTTTTCCACTCCTGCTCATCCTACCAGATACACCTGTTTGCCCGTCCTGAGAATTCAAAACGGTGACTAACACTACTAACACAAGTTGAGCAAGATGGTAATTTTAAAAATCAAGTAACAGCAAGTTACTAAAGCCAAACCAGACTTCCAAACACAGAGAGAAGTCACAGATAACTTTTTTTTTTTTTTTTAATTTTTGAATCTGAGTGTAAGGAAAGGCTTGAATATGTCCTTAGCTGTCTTCTGTGGATTGTAGCACTGGTTTTTTTTTTTTTTTTAATTTTTCTCTGAATGCTACAAAGCAATCCAAGCTAGTAAGAATAGTTTTCATCTGGAAATGTGAAAACAGAAAAAAAACCCTAAAGGGCTAAGTCAGAAAGGTATGAAAGCTTGGAGCCTAAATGACAGTATTGCACATAACAAAAGAGGAAATGTGATTTTTCGGTGACACAAGCAGGAGAAAGGAAGGACAGAAAGGAAAAACAGACACAGAAGAAGAATGAGCTAACATCTCATATGGGGAAAAAAAAATGTTTTAAAAAATGCTGACTTAAAATTATAATGCTTCCAACATAACCAAAAGTAGTAATTCCAATGAAAACCCAGGAATGCATCTGTTTCACCAGTGGTACTGAAAATGCAAGAGAATTTAGTTTAAACTAGAAAATCAATTTAATTTGTTGCTTCACGTTGAGTCATAAGAGCAGAAGAGCTTCAAGTGGCTTCCAGACAGAAGGCTCTTGTGTACAAATGGGGCAGAAAAAGCTGCTGACTCTGCTTGTGTCTGGACATGCCACTGCTGCTGCCACTTGAATACAGGCAGTGTCAGAGCTGATACACTAATGTGAGTCTATAGGCTTATTGCATCTGTAACTGAAAATTCTGAAGCAGTTCTAAGACAGGAAAAAAAATGCAGTTAGAGTACTGATCTGAAACCACATTAAGGTTTGCAGCAGAAAGTCACAGTAGACTCTGGCAGCTCAGAGCAGGGTGTAAGACACACGTGGGAGAGGTGCGAGTACAAACAAATCCAGAGTTAAACCAGACCCGAAGGAGTAATAAACAAAAAAACCCAACCCCAAACTAATCCTGCACCACTTAGTAATTTTCAAAGTATTTACAAATACCTAGTACTATCATGTAGCAGGACGTCAAACCAGCAAGGCTGCACTTATCAGCTATGACCTTTCCATGAATCATGTCCAGTGAAGTTATCTATGTTCCAGCAGCAACTGAAATAGTAATGAGCTTGTGGTGTTTAAAAGAAACAGGATATAAGGAAAATAACCTAAGCAATTTGTCTTGCAAGTTTAATTCTACATTGTGTACAAACACACACATTTCACAACAGGAATACTCACTCTGCACTCTAGCTGTGAGTATATACGGTTCCCTGAAATTAACAAAACAAAAATCCATCAAATTAACCCTTCTCTAGGAACAGAATATATTTTCTCATTTGCTCCAAGCACGTAAAATGCTTCTAGATTTTGTAACAGCTAAGAGCAGCAGGCATTGAAACCTAACAAAGCTTCAAGGTACCGAGAACTTTTGAGAATGAGGTTTCAGAACTTATTTTTATATTTTATTTTAAAGATAACAGCCTGATCATCATCAAGAAAACACTGGGGATGCATCACGTTATCCACAATGACTTTAAGGAACTATAATTTAAAATGGCTATCTGCCATAATTTCTGCTCGCATTCATACATTAGAATTTGGGAAGTAACCAAACAAAACAGCAATCCTGTTTCACAAAGAAATCTCTCACAACTTTAAAAAAATAAGAGAAGAGATCAACATGCAGATGTTGGAAAGGAAAATCAAAGTTGGGGTCTACTAACTACTACACGGACCGATCAGCTACTCTGCTGACTCAGAGAGTAACATAAGCCATACAGGGAAAACAATTCCAAAGAGTCCTTCAGTCCAACCTTAATGTCTGGACTATGTCAGAGCCTGAATTTTGGCAGAGTGTACATGTTTCCATTATTTCAGCCTGCTATACAGGCTCTGACATCAAAGCAACCACGCAAAATTCAGAAAGTTCTCTCAGCAAGCCAGAAGACGGGAAAAAACCCAAAGTAATAGCTTTCAGGAATCAATTTTTACTGATGACATGGTGGCCTACAATTGGACTGCATCATCTCCAAGCTCCTTTCCAGCTTTAATACTCTTTTTTACAACATCCACTCCTAGCTACATATGGTATCAACAAGTGATTGTGTTAACTACTCAGGAAACAGCAGAGTTGCCAGACTTACTGGATACTAAACAAACTGGTTCTCATCCACTTGCTGCCTTTAACAGTAACGGTAGTGGAAGAGAAAACACCAGCAACCACAAACATAAGCATATATGGCTGTTCGTGGAAAAAAAAAAAATAAAAAAAAATCAGTAGACAGAGACACATTGTTCGCAGACGATTTTATGTTTTCAAAGCTAAGCCTTTGAAAGAAACTTAAAAAAAAAAATCACTTCACTTACTCCCCATTTCATGGGGGCTGGCATTCTTTTAGATGATCAATGTTAAACTAGCCAATTTCTCAGGGAATTTGGCAGGCTGTGCAGCAGAATGGGTGTCTAGAACCGACGACTACTGCTTCTGCTAGGAGAGAAAACTAGCATAACTGCAAGCAGCTCACCTTACCCAGAAAAAACACAAAAGCAGGTGGACGGAGGGAGGGAGAAGCACGGCCCCGAGCTCGGCCCCGGCACCGCAGACGGCAGCCCACCCAGCCTGGCTCCCCGGGGCGGGGGGGCCGAGTCCCCACCCGACGGCTT